TAATAGCATTTGATAATGTAACTACTTTATTTCTAAATAAAATATGACATGATCACTAAAAAAAAAAAAAAAAAAAAAATAATATTTTTTTATATATTAGGAGTTACTCATTTAGCAACAAGTATATATATATATAAAAGTTGAATAGTTGAGCTTTGTACCAATTATATTTAATAATATATCAATTATAATCCAAATAATATAAAGACTTTACTTATTTGTAAAAATTTATAAATTAGTATCAAAAATATTTTAACTTGTTATATTTACAATAAAAAGTCTAATAAACAAATTCGAATTTATTTGAATTTGATAGAATCAAACAACTTATAGTATATATTTATAACAATGCTATTGTAAAAAGAAAAGAAGAATACAAAATGAAAGATACAATTTTAGTAAAAATACAAGAATAGCAACTTTATTTTATACAAAATTATCTTAAGATACCAATTTATTTTTAAATTATAATAAAAAAACAAATTGCTTTACTAATAATATAGTACCAATTGTTAATAACTAGCCAAATCAACTTTTTATTCATTAAGCACTAATATATTTATATAATAGAAATAACAACTTATTAATACAACCAAAAATAATATTATTTATTTTCTTTTTAAGCTACTACATATAGTGCTTGATACAATTAAACAAAAATTTAATAGCTAAATACTTGTTAATACTTATATAATATTCCACAAAATTAAATCAAAATTTGAATTTGCGGAGTACTATACTTATGTTTAAATTAGATATTAAACAATTACAAATTAACCAAAGCTAAATATATACTATTGGCTAATCTACAATTATTTGATATTTAATATAATTACAAATATAGTCAGATCTCTCTAAATTTAATGTAATAAGACTATATATAAAAATTTAGCCAAATATATATTTAGAGAGGTATTGTATTTAGAGAGATAAAAATCTATAAACATAATATTAGTTGGGCCTAAGAGAAGATGTGTATTTAGAAAGGCATTTTATAAGACATATACTTAAAGAGGTTGCATTTAGAAAATCTGACTGTATTAACAAGTATTTAACTATTAAATTTTTGTTTGATTGTACCAAGTACTAACTGCTTGACTCTTTTAATACAAGAGAGCATACTATGAAAATTTATTATTTATTTTCTAAAAAGCTTTTTTATAATATGTTTGGAAAAAAAAAAAAGCTTACAAAAAGTCCAGACTCTAGAAAATAATATTTAATATTTTTTGTATAAATTAAAATTAAAGATATTATAATAAAAAAATTTATTTATCTGTAAAAAAATATTAAGTATCAAGTAATTATAAATTTTCTTAAAAATATTATACATGTAACTTTTAATGTTTATATATTGCTATTCTAGTCTAGTACTTTTAAAGACTATATAGAAACAATTTTTCATATTTGAATTTTTGTATTATATTAGAAACAAAAAAATTATATAAAAGCTCTACTTGCTTTTTAATTAGATTTGTTTTATTGAAAAAAGAATAAATATCTAATAAAAAAAGCTATAGAAAAAATTTAGTTTAATTTAATAATTATATACTAAGTAGAAAATATATATAGCAAAATATAAGCAATAATATTATCAAATAATAGTACTGAAAATATATAAAGACAAGCTCTTATTTTAGATTATTATAAATATTCAGACTTTTATAAAATGTTTTCAACTAGAACTTAATATCTATATACTTACAAGTTTTAAAATTTTTAACTAATAAAATATATATATATTTTTTTAATTTTAAGAAATTTATAAAAAAAATAAAGAGATAAATTTAATTAGAAACAAAATTTTATCTTTTAAAAAACAAACAAAAAAAAATATACAGACTACATATAACCTTTTTACTTTAGAACAATTGGGAAACAATAAGTATACTATCTGGATATAGCATTCTATTGCCTCCTTTATCTGATAGCTATGATTATTGCTACACAAAACTTATTGTTAATAAGGGAATTGTTTTAATATATAGGTATGGGTATTATATAGAATGCTACAACAAATTAGAAAATAAATACAGGCTCTGCTTAAATTATTTTAAAGATGATATATATATGGCAAAATATTAATTTATTCTTAAAATATCTAAATGCAGAATTAAATATAGAGGCAAGAGAACTAATTGATAAACAAGATAATATGAATAAAACTGATTAGGATGAAAAAAACAATAATTAACTAGAGATTTGGAATTAGACTTACAAAATAAATTAGCAAAATGAATAGTTGGTAAAGTAAAAACTTATTCATTAGCAATATTTTTTAACTATAAGTCTTTATGTTTTAAAACAACTGATTTAAAAAAAATTCTTTGGTGTTATGAGCTCTTAGTAAATATAATTGAGGTCTTTGCTTTAAAAATAACCTTACGGAACATGGTAATTAATATATATATATGTCCTATAAGGTCATTTTTAGGGCAAAAACCCAATTAATAGAAGTAGAACTTCACTAAATCTGCTAAACAGAGGTTTTTTTAAAAATACCTATATTATAAAAGTTTTTATTAAATCTGATTATACTTGATTAAATTTTCTTGCTAGTAGAAGAACTAATAACTAAAGCGACCATAAAATTTCATATACCGGTATACTTAAATATGTAGTACGACTAGGTTGTATATGAGATGTTTCTTATTCAAGAACGTGTAAATTTCGTGTAACATATTGGCCAATCAAATGGATCGTCAACGAATCATCCAGGACGACCATAAAAAGTGCAGTATAACATTTGCCCTGCATTAATCTAATTTAGGCTGATGATCTTCAAAATTCTAATTTGGCCGGAAATTAAGTTTTAAATTTTGATCCGAAAAAAAAAAGAAATTAGGCCTGTTCGTGGTAAAGTTGGATCGCAAATATTTTTTCCTGTGAATAGCTGTGGCTTTATTAGCGTTAGTATATAAAGTTGTGTGTAGTTTGGTTTGGCTGCACCACAAGTCACGTTACTGCACTTTTGATGGTCGCCCTGGATGATTCGATCGTCAACCATGCTCCCACTCTCATATATAAGTGACTTTTATGTTATGTTAATTAAACAGAAAATTAAATTGGAGTGGCCTAAGTCTCAATTACTATTTAATTAGCAACAGTATTTATATAGTTATTGTAATGTGAATTACTATATGTTTTAAGTAATTATGAAAAAATTTTTTCTCATTTATTAAGAAAATTTTATATACAGTATATACCGGTAAAAATTTAAAAATTCGACATGCTGAATGGTTGCCATTCGATATGCCGAATAGTTGCTATTCGACTCATTCGACTGCTATTCGACTAACCATTCGATGAAAAGTCAAATGGCAGCCATTCGGTATGTTGAATTTTTAAATTTTTACCAGTGTAATAAAAAATAAAATATGAAATAAGCCAATTTAATAATTTTTTTACACTATTTAAAAAGTTTTCTCTGCATTTTTTACTAGAAGATTAAGATATGTTAGTAAAAAAAAAATAGCTACGTATGAAAAAAAAAAGATTCATAATTATACGTAATATATACGTATCGTATACTGTATACGTATACTGTAAATTTAGAAATTTCTTAATTTACACTAGTGTATGAAACACGTAATTTGTAAATCAATTTAACATAATATTTAAAGAAAAATTAAATTAGATTAAAGTTAGGATAGGGTTAGTAGTTTACACTAAATTTTGCGTAGATTATTTTTTGTTAGAATCCGAAGAGTGGTTTTCATGAGTTTATGATATGTACCCGTGTTTCATACACTAGTGTATATACAAATAGAAATTGCCGTAAATTTAATACAGTACGTAGTAATTTGATATGAAAGGAGTGTCGCTAAATGACTTATATTTAAATTTTCGGGTTTTCTTTTAGCGACACTCAAATACAATCCTTCTTAGGCGAATTGTATAATAAATGACTTCTTTACAAGATCATTTTTTTAAAGTTCCTATAGCCCCAACTGTGATTATAAATATTGCTGTATTTATGACCTATGTTATATATTATGACTAACGACAATACATCATAAGTGTTACGTGCCATGGTAATTGGGGTAGCACTGCCACAAAAATGCTTACAACTCTAGTGCTATGAAAAATGCCGTGTAAAATACCTGGCCGATTAAAGAAAAAGTGCATGTAAAATACTCGGGTATTTTAAGAGAAAGGAGTACAGTGCACTACGGATAACAATCTATCCCATTATCAATTATTTTAACTTTAATCAACCTATTTTTTATTAATCTCCGTTATAACATAAAGATTGTATCTATCGAAATTATTACAATGATTGTTGTGTTACTATCGTATTGCTTCATACGTTCGCGACTTGTTTGAATCTAGAAACTCGATTCTTATACAAAATCGAATACACGTACGTGACCCACCTGGCAATTTCTTATACATTAACGTGGTCTTCATTTCGAGTTTTTTTTTTATCGTCCTTTTTTCATATTGATCAAAGATTAAGAGTCAACTATCCATATCCAATATTTGTTATACGAGTACATATATGATCAGTTTATTTCTTTTAGACTTTATCAAACAAATAAGGAAATGTTCCGATAATTTCACGAGTATACGTATAGTGTACATTATTAGTGTTAGTATTTAGTATATATAAATTATAGCGTGAAATTTCGTGTGGCAATTATTATCATTTTCATTTAAACTAGTTTTTAAACTCGTAAATAAGAAGAACAAGCTTCTCTACCAGCTGGCTTAGCAAGATAACCGACTGGCTTAGTAGTGGCTTAGAAGTTTTAATTTTTGAAGAAAAGAACACAACCCTTTTATGTCTTTTGCATTTATTGTAAATTTAGACTCAAGGAATTATGAGAATTAGCAAATATACTTCAGTACCCTCAAAAGACATTGATAATGAACATAATGAAAGTGCTTTAAGTGAGCCCGGTGAAACTTCGGAACCTCTGTGGGTACAGGGGACTGATTCCCCACCGGAGCCTGAAGAAGACTCCTATGAAACAATGGAGAATGAGGAACGTGAGATTATGCTTAGTAAAGAAAAGGGGGAAGACGATACTGTAGTCGACATGGGTGAAAATTGGGAGGGTAGAGGGTATTCAAAAAATAAGGTGAGTTGACTTTTTCAATTACATTCAATAAAGAAGTCTTATTTTTATAAAAGTTTCTGATCAACTATCATTATGTCAAATTGTAATTTTATAGACAAATGAAAGATCAATTCTTCCGTGTCTTATTATTGCTGCTGTTTTTATAATCGCATGGGTTGGCTCAACAATCATATACGCATATTATCGTTCTACCACTATCGGGACTAATTCCCAAACGAGTACTTTAAATCGTATACAATTTGATGATATATATAATGGAAGTTTTTATCCTCAATATACATCATTGAAATGGAGTTCTGCTGGTACATTAAGCTTCATATAATTCCTTTGAATTTTTTTTTTTAGTATCAATTAAAAAAATCATTATACTCTTTCTTATTCAGGGGATGATGATGGTGTATTCATTTATCGAGATGATGATAATAATATTATTTTGGAACAAATATCTGACAGATCGAAAAAAACTTTAGTGAAAGGCACAGATATTATTGATGTATATTTGCGTTCCTATAATTTTTATTTTATTATTTATTTAATTTTTCAATAATATATTATTATTATTATTATTATTATTATTATTATTATTATTATTATTATTATTATTATTATTATTATTATTATT